CTGAAAATATGTGAAATAGAATACGATAAGCATTAGAGTTGTATCACTTTGTTTTCAATGTTTAGAAATCTGCAACTTGTTGTTAATTAAATCATCCTGAAGGTCATCATTGGCAGGCTCTCAGCTTTTCTATGAATTTGACTTTTTAAAGTCAAAATTATGGCATATACTGGTATTTCTAAAAATATCAAAGAAACAAGGAAATAAAGAGAGAAATGCAATGCATAAGAATCTCAAAAGTAGAGTTATGTCCTTTCATCTTTCTTTTTCACTAGAAATCAATCCATCAGATTTTAATATTCCAACTTACAAATAAAGGGGGGAAAGGCTATGGGTGGTGGGAAGCATGGATGTGGGAGGATACATTGTTGTCTATTAGTGGAACCAACACTTTCTTATGACAAAGACAACAACCAAATCTGTAGATGGTTTATTTGATCTGTATGAAAGGGTGGCAGTAGGATTTCTGGCACTTGAATAAGCAGAAACAATATTTTTGGCTAGAGAGACCTCCGAGTTCCCTCAGGGAGCCTTTTAGAAGGCTCTCCAGACCAAACAGTATTTCTTTTGTAAAGCCCTGCATTCGGAAACAAATGAAAGGTGTGTGAGCCACAACCAATAACCTATGAAAATAGTTTGCTCTAAATATTGGTGCGTGTGGGTGTGTGGGGTATTCTTTGTAATTTTCTAGATGAAAAAACTTACATAAGGGAAAAAACACTTTTTCTTTTTTCTTTACCACAGTATAAGTTCCTAATTTATATTTCAGTAGAGGATTTGCTTATGAATACAAACATTAATTTGCATTATTGCCGACTCCCATGAAATTAGAATGTTTCAGTTACGTGTGTTATTTACAGTTGTTATATCAAGTTAGTGACTTTGCTTTTAACTTTTAGAGTTGCTAATTGAACCTAGATTTTAAAGATGAACACTTCCCCTTCCTTGTTTTTTAGTCAGTTTGCAAAGCTATAACAAATGAAAAATTTTGAAAAAGTTAAACAAAATCCTTCAGAAACAAAATAAAGTACCTGTGGCAATGATATCAATAAAACAGAATGCTAGGAAAATGGAAAATGAAGCAAAGCTATATTTGCAGGCAGATAGTGCAAATATACACTTGAAACCTGTATAGTAAAATATCTTTAAAAATTGGGCACATGTACTACATTTTGCTATTCTTTCATATTTTTCTGTTAGAGCCTCCATTTGGAAAGAAATGATAAATTCTTATATTAAAATTTCTTGGGATTATCAATCATTTTTGAAAAGCAACTGTTTCCTTTAGCTGTCATTTTTGCCCAAGAAGTATGAATATGGAAAAAGAATAAAATTAGCACTGAATTTATAATATAGACATGAAAAATACACAGTATCATACATACATGAATGTACATATAGTATATGTTATATACATTTATTAACATAATTCCACTGATATCAACTAATATTAACTAATTATTTGCTTGAGATATTTTCAATGATCTAATTTTCATACTACATACAGTTCTTAGTTGATAAAAAAACTGTTAACAATACACATAGATGTACACTTGAAACCTTATGATTCTATTAACTAATGTCACCCCAATAAATTTAATAAAAATGTAAAAAACTGTTAAAATAATATTTTAATAGGCTAATAAATTCAGTTTATGAAAATTTTTCAAATATTATTGGAATCAATATTACTATGAAAAAATGACATAAAAATAAAATTAACTTTCAAGAAAATCATTTATAAATTTAAAATAAGTTACATGGAAGTGATTTATCCTGGCTAAAATATTTTATCAAATAATTCAAAGCTCAAATAATTAATGACATACAGCTTCCATCTCAAAATACATTTTCTGGATGGATAGAAGAATCAAGTTTGATTAATATTGTGGATTTATATCTCACAAGTGATGTCAGCTAATTAGAAATATTTTAGCTTATGAGAATTAAAATAGGAACATAGAGTATGTGGAATGTTTAGACATTTTTCAACAGGTTTAATAGGAGAAGATGACTTTAGTCCTTAATGTCAACCTACAGCCTAATTATTAGTGGAAACTATTTTACCAGGCAAAATTCTTAAAGGAACCGTAAGTATCATTATCTGCCAAACAGTGACAGATTATATAAGCAGATTATTATTATTTAATGTAAAGTGTTGTCACCTGCTATTAGGCTAAAAGAATTAAACTTTCTTTCTTTAGAACTTCTAATTAAAATAAAACAAAAAATTCATATGATACCAAAGACTGAACCCCAATAATTTATCTACTCATGATCTAAGTATTCCAATGAATACTGTTATTGGGAGAGAAAAGGGAAAACAAGGTAGAACTTTTATTTTTCAATAATTATTAAAACTACATAACAATAATTATTATTGCTATAGAAAACACAATTACCAGCATTAACTGTACATTTCAGCTAAACCTTTGGTCTTAGGGAAGAATATAATTTAAGATAGGAGCAAGAAGTAGGGAAAGTAAAAATATATAATTTTGCCTTCTTGAGTCATTTCTACTCAAAAACATTTCTTGAATGAAATTTTTCATCAGATGAGAAAAAGGTCTTTTAGAAATTTGTGTCTCACTAGGCTATAAACCATCAGTTTCTCATCACTGACAGAGTCATCTGTGCATTGGACAAGGTAACCAAGGGTGTATGTTTTCATAAATGATTCACATTTGAAATAAAACAGATTAGATGTTTGTTGGAAGCAATACTTCATACAACTGAGCAACCTATTTATACTAAATCTTTATGAACAGAATCCACATTATTTAGACCCCAAGACCTCTCAAGACCCAGAGTCACCTACTTGCAGACCCAATTTTTATGGCCAGCCAATTTATAGGCAAAGTGAAAGAAACCTGCGAACTGGATAAAATAACCACATGTCCCCACTGGAAGCCCCATTACTTGAATCATTTAAACCTTGCTGGACAAAGCACCAGGAGAATTTGCTGTAGGGAACAAATCTACACAAATGGGGCAGGGAAGAAATGACCTAATAGTTAGTCTCCCTTCTGCCCTAATTTCTATGGTTTGATGTTAAGAAAAGCTGCCACACTGTTGTGAAAGCTTACACTCTAACAAGAGGGCATTTCTTACTAAAACAACAACATCAACAAAAAAAAACCCTTCATAATTTAACATTTAAGTTGCCATCATCAAAAGGCAGGGACACTCTGAGACAATTTTCCCTGGGAACAACACTTTCAAGATACAATGAAAATGTTTTGTTTTTCCTTCATTCAAGAATTTAAATGCCAGTAAAAGAATATGTCTGTTGCTTAGTTTTTACTTGCTGGCTACTGAAATTTAGGGTAACCTCTCCCATAGCCCTAGCTGCTTACTTATGTCAAATGGCATCATTTGGTGGTATCCAATATGAAACCCAGTGTAACACAAGGCTGGTCCAGACAGGTACTCTGCTCCGTCTGGTATTTTGATTGTCCATATCCTGCCTCAGTTTGTTATTTCAGTAGGAAGTATTTATCACATTCATGTCTACAACTAGCATGACGTACACACAGAGGTGTAGAACATGTAGGGAGTGTGTGTGCAGGCAAGAATGGGAGAGAGTAGAGGATGGAGTTATTTGCATGTATGAATGAAAAAGTACAGGGCTCTTCTCTTTAGGTAAATATCTATGCTTGACAATCTGGATTTTTTGGTCAAGATATAGAAGTGAATATAAAATACAATGTCAAGTTAAAAATATTTTTCATTGAACTGCAATGTTTTTCCAATGGCCACTACTGATTTGAAATGAAAGGATGCTATTCAAATGTGATGTTTCCAATATCACAGATTCTATCTTTTGATTTTAAGTGTAAGTTTGTACAAAGATGATCTTGTGAGTGTGTGAAGGTAAGCATGCATGCCTGGTTGGAATTGAAAGTAGGTATATACAGTGAGGGGGTAGGAATGACCCATTTAATACTGTTACTTACTTTCCCAAGTCCTTGGATTTTCAGGTGTTTTTACTGTCAATGAAGAGTGCAAATGACACTTGTGATGACATTGATGTCACTGGTTCACCACTGAAAATCAGTTTTGTCTTTTTTTTTGTAAGGAGGACTGTTTAAGCTTTAGAACCTTAACAATGTTTCAACATTCTTTCTCTCCTAAGTACTTCTGCCTTGTAGGTATCAAAATCTCACTCCTTATGTAAGGAACAATGCTGAATTTAGATATTACCTCTAGGACAGATTTATAAATGCAACTTTCCCCCATCCTCTTAAAAAGAGGCACATGGTATTATTGCAAATAACCTTTAAGATAATTAACTGACAATGCTGCAACTAGCATAAAATCTTCCTTCAGGCGACACCTAATTTAAGTGTTACTGGCACAAAGTGGAGACAGATTGTGCATCACCACTGCAATATTTACATAGCAGAAACCCACAGAGCAGGAAACGCGAGGCTCAATGATGCACTAAATTAGGAACAACCGTACTCCAGTGTTAATTTGCTTTCCATTCTATCCAAATCTCAGACCCAGAAATTGGTACAAGCACATACACAATCTTCCACTCTTAAATGACTAAACCAGAGATTTGTGTACTTTCTTTCCCCTTCCAATACAAAAATAACTTGAGATTTATTTCTTCTTTCCACAAGAACCATTTAATCAAACTGTGTTTATTTCATTACAAGTTGCTCTCACTTTGATCTAAAATTATTTTTCATAAATGCTGCATCAGAGTCTATAGAGAAAAACTAAACAGACTTCTATTTTCTCAAATGCTGCCAATAGAGTTTATGAAAGGAATAAAATGAGAGACTTGAGAGCCAGTTGGTAAAATACTTAAGAATACGGAAGGGCAAGTTTACTTTAGGTGGGTTTCTCACTGATGAATAAGTATTGTCCCCCAGTACAAACCTTCCCCATCAAAATATGAGTTTTGTAAAAAAAATCATTTAATTTTTTTTTATTCTTCCCCATGGTATTTTAAACGACAGTTTCATCCAAGGCATCAATAAAACATTTACCTTTCCCAGTTGTTGATGTTCTTTAAAGGCAGTGATCAGTTCCTCAGCCCACTTAATTTTTTCAGGGGAAGGAGAAAATTGCTCCTGAACAACCGCAATTTGATTAGGGTGTATCACCTGCTTGCCTACAGGAAGATTAATATCAGAAACACAAATCAACAAATAATATCTCAACCATGTGAGGCTCCTGAGTGCCTTATAGACTGTATATAGAATAACTCAATATTTTATAACATTTTAAAAAGAAAATAACAGCCATTGGGCAGGATTTTTCAGAATACCATGTAAGAACAAACAGAACAATGGGAATAATTGTGTTTCCAATCCTACAGAAATGCCACCTTGGTGCAGAAAGTCTCTCATGTTGAGTTACAGGTGGAATGACCAAGCGGCTCGTTAAATAACTGCTTTGGCAGGAACTTTAAAAGATAATGCCTGCAAATTAGAGTGATTATTTTTGAAATAAAGTAGAAAAAATATATGTTAATTCTTTCAAATTTTATAATTTGTCTTTGGCTTATTTTGTACTATCCTGCCTTCCACAATTTCTTTTGAAGTAGTCTGTTGGTTTTCATAAAGCTTACAGAAGCAGCTGTTACAACTATACTAATATTAAATAGTGTCTCACAATAACAGTTTTTCTTTTTTTAGATATAGTATGTCATTTCTAACCCCTAACAGAAATTTAGATTTCAATGAAAAAATTTTATCCAGTACAGTAAAATAGAAGGCAGATTTGAACAGTGTGGTCTCTAAATTATTCCATTTAAACATGTTTAAATAAAAATTATAGAAAGTTTATGTAAAAACATAACCAGATTTTCCCTTTTTTCTTATAGAATGAAGATTGGATATTTCCCTTTTATATAGATATTTAGATACCCCAGATGAAATCTTCTCTCTGTAGTAATGGTTTTGAAAAAGCTTTAAGCTTTTTTTGACGTTAAGTATCTTAAATAAAAACACTATATGAAGTGTCACAGGATTCTGTGAAATCATGCAGTCATTTAAAAAAACAGTTTAACAATCAGGAAAGAATGGAGTATAATCAGGTCATTAGTAAAATGAAACAATTTTAATGTTATAATAATGTTGAGGTTATACTTTATTACATAATAAAAGTATGGACATATTTGGTTCTTTAAAAATGAAGGTACACGTAATGATAATTTGCTCTGCTAAGTATTTTTGCTGACTTATCAATTTGCTTTGCTTCTGGTGTAGATGTTTTAAATATTAGTCAGTAGAAATTATATCCTTGATGTTTTAAAAAAGCTCAATTCCTGTTACTGCCATTATCCCACCAAATAGAAAAAAGCACAATGTTTATAAAAATTGTTTTAGCATTTTATGAAAAAGATTTTAAGTGAATAAATATAATGATATCTTTTCTTATGGTGACATAATTAAAACATCCTCATATTGCTATTTCATCTTTAATCTGTCAGTGTAACAATAAAGCATTAAAATGCTATATACATAAGGATGCTTTAAATTATTTGAGGAATAATTTCTGGGAAAAAATATCAGTAATGACAAATGAGAGCTTTTTTTAATAGCAGGTGCTGAAATTATACTTAAGTAATCTAATAGTTGTTACAGTATTATTAATAAAGGATGTCAGTTCTGGTAGTCATTGTGTACTGTTAGTCCTGAATTTTATAATTTATGTACAAAATTTACACTGATGTGTACAAAGCCCGATTTCATGAGAACTTCTTGGTACAGACACTATAATCTGAGGCACAAAACATAAACTATTTAAAATACAATAAAACTACTGATGGCTTGCCAGCACCCATATTTTGGTAGTGAGGCTAATTTTAAGATATGTGTTAGGTTTTAGAAATTTATGAACATCCATATGTGAAGTTATCTTTTGTTGAATTTTATATACTCCAACAATTGAACATCAGACTTTAATACCATGTGGAAGCAAAGCAAATATTTTATACAGAAGAGTTGTTATTGACAAGTTACTGAGAGGGTGCAAAATTGGAAGACATTAAAATTTATGACCATGAAATCCTTTTTACAGTACCACTTGATATATCATGCTTTAAATCAATACCTGTCAAGTCTTTTAGGTACTGTATGATGGTGTCATTTTTGTCTTCTACAAAAGACTGCAAAAAAGAAGAAAACCTATAGAGTTTCATATTTATAATCTTTCTTCTCAGCATGTAGTACTGGAGTAACTGTGATGACCAAGTCAGCTGTTAAAGCTTTATTCCAAGATTTATTTTTGCTTTATTTTTATAAAAATAATTCCTAAAGTTAATAGCTATTTATACAGCCAGTGCATTGATTTAAAATCTATCTACATGGATTGTGGCTCTGTGAAACAATGACTACAGAAAAAATCTATAACCCACTGTTCCATGCATGGTTAACTTTTTAAAAGCTATAACTCATTAAAATTATACATAATTTTTAAAAGTACAAAAAATTTTTATAACATAGACTGAGTGTTTCTTATTAGTGTTATGGATAGCACAATGCTTTCATTGGATTTTACACCTTTCAACCACCTGCTTCACAGATAGGAGTATTTCCTTCCTTCTTCCCTCCCTTCCTTCCTTTCTCCCTCCCTCCCTCCCCCTCCCTCCCTCCCTCCCTCCCTCCCTTCCTTCCTCTCCTCCCTTCTTGTGCAAAGCTTGAGGTATGGCATTTAAATGACAAATAATTAGGACAAACAGATCATGAGTGGCCTGAAATACTCATTAAATCATTTATTGTTTAAAAATACTACAAATAATCTCATATTTTATCAGACTAATTACCTTTTATTGGCATGGAGTAATATAATTGGGACAAAAAAAGACCTTCTTGCTAAAAACTGCAAGATGGCTTTAAGGTGTAGTTCTCTATACATTACTGACTCGTTCAGTGAAATATATAATGGGCACTGTACCCTCTGTGCCTCTCTTTCCTCTCTTCCATTTTTTGTGTGATTTAATACTCCCTGTTGTTGAGAAACAATAGTGCCAAGCCCATAAGCTCCTCATGCTGAGTTGGGCACAATTTAGAAATTTAAATCTGATTTGAAATAACTTGTCTTCTGTGATTGAATTAGGGACCAATTCAACTCAGTCCTGTATCTTGGAGAAACTCTCAAACTCCTTTAAAAGTTTTGGAGCAAACGTTTACCCCAGAGGAAACTAAGGACACCCAGATTATACTAAATGATGGTGGCAGAGGCCTGCATCCGTTCAGTGTTTCTATTTTTTATTGCATTAGTGCCCATTTCATAGCAACATCTGGCTGCTTGGCAGCCAATGTCACACATTTTAGATCAACAACAACAGGGTCTATTAGATAGATTTCATGGAGTTTTTCTCCAACTTTTCCATTTGGGCCACATCCTAAACAGTTGTTAGAAAAAGCCTGGTGACTCTCAGTCACTATTAAATGTAGGGAGGAATTATTAATAGTTCAGATGATTAAAATATTTCACTATAAGAGATTGCATTAATTTATTTATTAAACCAATTTGGTGGGTCACATTTTAACTCTTTATGTTAAAAACACAATTAAATGTCAGAGCTTTATTTAATTCTAATAAAACACTTAAATTGTTTCTTAAGCCTTTCAATTTTATTTTGGGTTAAATCACCATCAAGATACCTTTTACATTTCAAGTCACCTTATGAAATGTTTCTTTAGTAATCCCTAACTGGACACATTTCAAAACTATTTACCAGAAGGATAGCATGGATGCTTATCTCTTCTCCCTATTATTTGGGTATATTTCTACCATGATATTTTTAGAACTTGCAGCAGAAGAACAAAAAGAATACAAGATTTTATGGTGTTTTTTTTATAGTGTTGCACTTGTGTGTATGCAATTGCAAACAAGTGTCTGGGCATAGAATCCTATTGTGGTTTCTCAAAATATAGATTTCTGTTGCAAAAACACAATTTTTGGTTGCTCCCTGGGCTCCTGGGGACCTGAGTGATCAGGTACACCAATCAACAGATATCTAGCTACCTGCACTCCAGGACTGGATTGCAAGGGGCCACTGATCTGAGTGCCCACCAATGCCTGTAGGTGTTGCCAGGTGCATAGGCACTTACTGGGAGGTGGGAGAGGAAAAAAGGGGCTTTGAAGTGGCAGAAGAATAAAAACCTACTTATGAGTGAAAAAATTTTTTTTAATAGCCAGAGTTTTTTTCAGAAATAAATTAATATTTTGACTACTGGAGGAAATTTTTCTTTGACCCATCAACCCAAACTGTTAAGGAAGTTCACCCCAAAATACTTTTTTTTCTGTTTTGGTTTTGGCAGAGAGAGAGTGAGAGATTGATTCATCTGTTCTTCCACTTACTCATGAATTCATTGGTTGACTCCTGCATGTGCCCTGACCAGGGTTCAAATCCACAACCCTGGTGCATCGTGATGATGCTCCAACTAACTGAGCTACCTGGCGAGAGCCACCCCAAAACACTTCTGTAATAGCCTCATCTCTTGCCTTGTGTCAGCAAAAACTATAACAAAATACTTAAGAGGACAGAAAAAAAAGATCCCTAATATAAAGAGAAAATAAAATAAGTGAATTTGTTTGTCGACTGGCAGAGCCAAAGAAAAACCTGACAATTTGTTGGGCAGATTCATGCCCTGGATAGCTTTGTCATGTTTCAAATAGTGGAATAAGTATGTGAAATACCAGGCTATATTAGGAAAACTAATTTCTGGTTAAATTTTTATCATTCTGGAATGTTTGCAAATCTAGACACTGCTTTCTAAGATATCATCAAGAATCGTACCAGTAAATCCCATTGTAGCTCCTTCTCTGGACTGCCTGAGAAGCCCCTCTTCATCTCGAAAGTCAATGTACACCAGGTCTATGGCCTGTAGCCCAAAGGCCTTTGCTACAACAATAATCTTTTGTCGGGCATAGAGAATATCTTGGGTTTCTTTACTACTTGTTGCACCTGAAAATGGGATATTGACAGAAAAAGGAGACATTAACTTTGGAAACTGAACTCATACATAAGTTATAAAAACAGTTTGTAAAGACATCTATGTTCTCCTGACAATTGCTCCCTAGCAAAGTGATGATTCAAATATAAACAAAGAGAGACAGATTGTGGAGGCAGAGTTAAATCTCATGTGTCACACTTGCAAGGCATCTTTCAGTATAATTTCTTGTGTGTGCATCAAGAAAAGGCCCGTCCGCATCTCAGGGACTAGGATCTCGAATGATCTGACAGGTCACCAATGACTCCTAGTTTGTTTTTTTCCTTCTTTCCATTACTTGGAAAGTGTCAGTCTAAAAGGTAGCACCACAAAAGGTGGCCAAACAGCTGTGCAAGGAAATGGTTAACTTCTCTCACTGAGTCCAGAATTTCATGTGTTGTCATTGCAATGCTCTGTTATAACTGAGGTTCTGAGCCAAATACTGCAGCTTCAGGTTTTGGATGGAGAACGTAGGGAAACAGAAGGCAGAAAGTGTCTACTAAACTATTGCCAACTCACTTTTTTGGAAGGACTGGTATTAAAATAATTTCCTTTTTTCACCCCAGGAGTGGGAGGGAGTGTCTGTTTATATTTGCTCAGGGAAAGCTTCTGTCTTCAGTCACTGGGACTGCGCTCTTCAGGTCACAAGGATACACTGGAAACACTTGTGTCCTTGGCCTCTTTTCTAGATGCACTCACAGTCTCTGGTTATACATGCACTTGGACCAGAGGCATTGTGCCCAAGAGATAGGGAAGATCAGTGAAAACAAGCATACTATCTCAATAAATATTTAATAATAAGAGTTCTGAAATATATTCTAGGAGGAACTGAAAATCTATTTTAAATAATATTTACATACTACATTTCATATAGAAAAGTATTCATTAAAGCACATGTGAAATTGCTTTAAGTTTGTGTTAGGAGTTTTGATGATCTTTAAACTGACATGGAAACAAAATATTTAAGCAGTAGAGAGGTTTTGCATAATACTTATTATGAACAAAGTAGATGCCGTATATTCCTGAACATGTCTGAGGCTGCAACAGGCTTTTTATTAGTTATCTTATAATCAAATAGAAATAATAGTGCTGTGTTTTGAAAGCAAGAGAACTATGAGGTATCTTAAATTATCAACAACTATTGCCCATTCAGCTGAAAAACCATCATCATGGTTGGCAAATAGATATTTTCATGTAAATATCGATTTGTGAAGGGGCAAAGAAAAATATATGCACATGTACACAGAAGAGTGAGAGAGAGAGGGAGATAGGTAGATAGGTTGGTAGGTAGATAGATAGATAGATAGATAGATAGATAGAAAAATAGATAATGAGTCTTTGACACCTATGCTGGCTCGAAAATCTTCTCCTCCAAAAACGACAGCATCTAGAAAAAGACCCACTTGAGGCCCAGTCTTTACTGCTTCTTCACACACTGCCTGTAAAAAAAAAAGCAGAACAGCAAAACTCACAGAACTCACCGAAACACACAAATGAAGCAGCATGGTATAAAATTCAGTAACAGGGAGATCCAGCTCTTAATAAACAGTTTATTTAGGACTGGCTGAAAGCAGTCCTAAAAATGCAGCCCAAATTTACTCCTTTTGAAAGGTACTTAATATTGTTCAAGATAAGTATGTTATATATATTAGCTTTGCCTAAATGGATTTTATTAATATAGTTATTAAAGTACATTAATATAGTTATAATGTTCAAATTGTAGTTAATACAATTTATAGAAAAACTTTGAATTAACTCATATTGATTGTACTATAAGTTATTTGTATTTTTCCAAGATTTGTTTTTGCTTTAAGATACTCAAACCATAAACACAAAGCCACAGGAGAGAGGAAAGAATTTTTAAATTAACTAACTAGATTATTTGCATTAGGATCAAGATTTCTTAGTAAATGGTTTTAGGATGAAAGGCATACAATACAAAAATCTACAATGCTAGATGGGAAAATAAAAATGCAACAAGTTATCCCAGATATATTAATAAGAAAATTTGACATTTCTATGTGAAATAAAGATAAGTAACATGCATTGTGGACATAACTGGGAATCTACAAAGGTGGAGCAACAACATGCCAATATATGTGGGTAAAGAAGACATGAGAAATGAGTGAGGGCACTGCTGATTAATTTCAGGCGTTGTAAGTGCTTTCAGGTGTTGTCAGTACATTATGGAATGATGAAACAATGCTAAAAATTAAATCTTTATATGAGTCTAGCTGCATCTAAGGGATATGCTTTGATTATATTCCCAGAATTATAGGGTGGGCTGGAAGAATTTATGGTTAGTGGTGTAAACACACTTGATCACAAGGCTTGAAGCAGCTCCCCAAACATTTGCCCTCTGCCCCTCAGAACGTTTACTCACATAAAGTTCAACTATCTTTTTGTTTTGTTTTTAGAGATTTGTTTTCTCCTGCTCTGAGACAGGGTGCTACATTGATGTTCACAAGTCAGGTGGTGGTATGTGAGGTGTACATTAGAAAACAATTTAAAAACCCACTGACAAAGGGATTTTTTTTTTACAAGCTAGCTGTTTTTTTATTAAGGCAAATGGTTCGATGCAACCATACAATGCTGGAAAACACTTGGCTCAGATAATTTTTCTGAAGGTATATTAGGAAATATTTTATGTTCTAATGTGGTAAATTGAAATAATATACTACAAATTATTGGTATATACTAACAAATAGTAATCTTATCAACTAGATATTATGGATAATGTTGTCAAAGAGAGACCAGAAAATTTCCTAATAAAAGGCAATTGTTACAAAAGAATAATTGAAAGTTAATTCATAAGGGTGACAAAATAAATTTTCATGCACATGTAATCTATAAATGTAATAATTCAAAGCATATATTTACATAGTGATTATTTAATTAAAATTATTGCTAGAAATCTTCAATTTAAATATTTAGGACTGGGAAGTTTTTCCTTGCTACTTAGCCAATTTCTTTTCTAAGATGCTTACAACCTTGTTTTGGATAATTATAGATAATAAATTGTACTCAAGGTTTATTTTGCTTATGGGTCTTTTCAGAAAGATATTTAAAGTAGATGTTAAAATTAAAAAGAAGAGTTCTTTGTAGTTAATAAAATACATAATTGGGGTTTTCTTACCTTAAAATTGAGCAAACCCATTGCAGTTTCCACAAAAGGGATTAAATTCACAGGTTGTTCAAGTTTTCGGCCTTTTAAGTAGAAGGAAAATTTGTCTGAAAACTAAAATCAAAAGTGTCATAGGTGATTAGTGGGGGGAAAATGTGCGATCACTGAAATGTAGACATAGAAATAGTATTTAAATCTTTGACCTGAGGAAGTAATATCCCAGCCTCTTTAGTCCACACAAAAGAATTTTTTTAAAAAAGGAAACACCAAAGAAAAAAGGTAATAAAGTTCCCGCCAAACGAAATAGTAAAACCCCAAGCATTATAATATTTTTTCCAAAGGAGCAATTTGAGGCCTAGGAGCTAGAACTGGAAGGAGACATTCTTGAGTTTAAATGTTTCCCTGGAAAATATATTTACTTAAGACCTCTCACCCTCACTTCATTAAATGCAGGTGATAGGCCCCTAAAACAATGCAGTCGTGCCCGTACCTGCCATTCTGTTTTTGTTTCATACCCAGCACTGACATCAGTGTAACTGCTCAACAGCCTTCTACATGGAATCCATATTATTCATTATAGCATCGTTACCCTTTGTTCGGAAGGTTTTTCTTCATAATTTTTTAGCTTACCTAAAAAGACCTTAAAAAGGAAGTTTAATTCTTTGAAGACCAAAGCTCGCCAATTTTTTTCCATGAGACCAGTTCACAGCTAGCTCAGTGCTGCCAGTGGGGTAGCCCAAATTCCAAAATCTATCATCTGGAAACATACAAAAGCTCTTGCACAGATCTCCCTGCCCCCCTTTCAAAAGGAAAAAAACCCCACTGCACTCTAAATTGTAAATCTACTAAGTCTATCTAGATCTAATAAGATGTGGGGAGATAAAAAAAACAAAAACAAAAAAAACCCAGGTATGACAAAAATATTTTTGTAAATTAAGATGAAAACATATATATCCATTTTAAATTTAAGGAATATTCAGCCATTAATGGATATCAAAGGAAAAGGGATTTTAATCATCTCTCCATTCAGTCTCAGTTGGGTAAATCATATCTAAGAGATTTGCATAAATATAAACCATCAAAGACTTTTCATCTTCAAAGGGGGTTTCAAGACCCTATAAGCTTTGTACTGTAATCATCGCAGGTCACCACCCTGCAGGAATAGGGCTGCTATGGCAACATAAAAAAAACTAATGCTTAAGGCTTAGCATAATATTCTGACTAATAGAAAGGAAACTCATTTTAAAAGCTGGCAGCCTATTTACCCGAAGCAGGATTAGAGGTGTTATTTCCCCTTTTAGCTGCCCCCTCCTTGCCTGTGCGGCACCCCCCGAAATCTAATCACTGGGATCTTTAAAAAGCTTTTGAGCAATTTGCAGTAACTTTACAATTAAGCTAAAATAAATCACAGCTTTCAGTAATGAAGAATTATCCCCAGTTGCTCCCACTGCCCCCTCCCTTCATCTGTCACCATCATCATCACCTTCTTAGTAACTTTGCAAGGAAAGGAATAACTCAACCAAAATTGCAAGAAAGAAGAGAAGGCTACAATTTAAAGGCATGAAATGTACAGTATTCCATGTAATTGAAAATAAAATATAACTTATGTCATATTTAAGCTGGAAAGAGGTGTTACATATACAGTAGAGAAATTTTTTTCTCATTAAAAAAACTTGCAACATTATTTGCCCCCATGCTTTGTGATATAAGGTATAACTACAAAAATCATCAACTTTAAAAGTAGTAAACACTTTGCAATAAATTCCCTGTTCTCAGTGAGAAAAATCTTAAAAGCCTTTTGTTTTTAAGCCAATGGAGACATTTAAAAATGAAATATTTTAGCCCATCCTCCTTCACCTCCTCCCCTTCTCTCTTAAAAAACTGCATTAAGTACGCACACAAAAGGTAACTAGTGGAGAAGTTTCAATTAATTTTTTCAAAAGGAGACGATTAAATGTTTCCGGCCTGGTAAAGTGTTCATTTCAGCGAGGTGGAGGGGACTGAGGGGTTGGGGAGAGGAAAAGAAGGGGAAAAAAATCACAAAGAGATTGGGGAGGAGATGAAGTAGCAGGGCTCAGCAATTCTTTCAATTCCAGTGCACACCCAATAGTGTGTTGGAAGAATGCACACTGCTCGGGATTTGTGGGAGAATTGTCCTGCGACAAAAGAGGCAGAGTCACGCTTGTTATAGTCCAATAAGCCGTGCCAGTCAAACAAGAACCCACACTATCGACAAAAGGCCAGCAAGAGATTCTCACACAAAAGAAAACAAGGAAGCCCATCTTTCAGTTGTGCATCAGGCTCTGGGTTTTTGCTTCACATAAATACAAACGGAGAGGAAAAAATAAACAGCCCAAAGACTTCTGTTAACTAGAAATCCTATTTAGATTTCAGTATGTTTCTCAAATCCAGGGATTTTAAAACTTTGAACAGAAGCCAGAGTTCAAGGCTGGGGTAGATCCTCCCTCTCAAATGAGGGTAAAATAGTGATAAATAGGTGTTAACCATGAAACCAAAAAGGAACAGTAACTTCAGATTCAATTTCAATCAACTTAAGAAACATTTGAACAGGCTAGGAACCCTTGAAGATATTAACTTGGTATGAGCAGTATCTCCCAGCCTCTGAGGGGTGACCTAGGAGAGGAGAACTCCAGTGTAGAAAGTGAATACGGGTCCTTGAACACTGGACTTCAAGAAGGCACCAACACGGAGCTGTCCAACTGAAAAATAATGGCAGTTATGTGTGTAATTCTAAATTTTCTAGTGGCTACATTAGAAGAGTAAAATAAAACAGGTGATTTTAATTTTAATAATGTTAAAATTAACAATATATCCTAAGTATTATCATTCAAATGTACAGTCAATATAAAAATTACAGAGATAATTTACATTTTTATGGGTGTAGGGTGGGGAGACTATGAAATTTTTAAAATCCTGTGTGTATTTTACACTTCCAGGATATCTCAATTTGGCCTTACCACATTTTAAGTGCTCAGTAGCGACATGTGGCAGGCAGCCACACATTGGAAAGCACAGGTCCAACTTATCTACCTGACATTAAAAAGGTGAGCAGTTTGCTCAGGAATTACAACAACTTAGTGTATTGCTACAGTTGCAACCATAGCCTTAGAGTAATCCCAGATGTGGCATCAAAATCACCACTGTCCACATGACCTTACCATGCTTCCAGCACTTATGTGTCATAGGCCCTCTCCCATGGAGTGGCACAGTGGAATGTTATTTTATTCATCAGAGATCTGCAGAATCAGAGTAACCCCTAAATAAAATCTTGCTGACCCCCACTTTAACAATGAAAACAATCATAGTATAATTAGGCCCATTTCAAAGTTTTCTTAAGTAATTTGACATGCCAGGTTTTTATTGGATGAAAAGTCTGTCATGAAACACAAACACACCTGTCAGCAATTTAAAAAGGAAGAACTAGAGAACTGTTCAGGAAATAATATCTGTGCTAATTAAAACCATTGATTAAAAGCTTCCTGTTTATTCCTGTTTGCCCTAAGGAGTAACCTTTACCTTTCCTCCTCTAGGTTCAATTTTTCATTTGCGTCTATGATCTCTTCCAATGAATCTGGTAAGGGCCATTTACATCACTGTTCTCCCAGGTAGAGGGGTAGAGTCTGGCAGGGTATAAGAAGGATCCAATTCTCAGGCAAGCTAGTTTTCAAGGTCTGCTCTGTAAGGCCTACTGAGGATTCTGTGTTATCCAAACCACAAATCTGATTAGGGAGCAGAAGCATCATTTCAAGAGTAGAGTTGTCCCATAGAACACTTTGGGCAAAGCCAGGTTCTGTCTGAGTGAAGAATATGGTCTCTTGAAATCATTTCTTTTTCTGAATTCCCATTCTGCTCTGTGTATATATTTTCAAAACCGGAAACACTCAAATGCTTCCTTTCTGCTGCTATTTCCTAGCCAGTCCTGAATCTTTAATTAAAGCAAAGTATTAGTGTACCTGGCTGGGTAGCTCAGTTGGTTTGAGTGTCATCCCAAAATGCCTATGGTGAGGGTTTGATCCCTGGTCAGGGCACATACAAGAAAGAATCAACCAATGAATGTGTAAGTAAGTAGAACAACAAACTGATGTTCCTCTCCTTCTCTCTTTCTCTCTCTGCTTTTATCTCTCTCTGTAAAACCAATAGATAAAAAATAAAGCTAAGGATTAGCTACTCACCCACTGGATTTCTTCAGGACCTTCCACCTTTGGTAGCATTAGGCTGGAAGGAAGGACCTGGGATTGCAAGAGGGTCTCCAGGTCTTCTTCAGCCAGACCACTGGACACTGAGTTGATTCTCACACACTTTTCAGTTGGGCCCAGATCAAAGTCTTCAAGAGTTTTTACTATTCTTAATCGAGCTTCATTCTGTGTTGATAAAATGTATCTCCTGTGAAACTTAGGTAGTTTCAGAGCCTGAGCACCATTACTATATCTACAAATTTCCTATCTACCAAATAAGTGGTATTTGAAATAAGTCATCCAATCTGATTGGTAAAGTGATTGATTTCCAGACTTCATTCAAGGTGATTATAACATAGGTGTGATGGCTCCTACAATGCCTACTGGCATACTCCTAAATAGTGGTGTCACCTTGCTCATTAGCATTACTTTTCAATTGGAAAGGTAAATTAATTGACAGGTAACATTTATTGAGAATTTACTAAGAACTAGGCATGGTTCTAAGTCTACCTGCAATTTCTCACTTAATCAATATGAGAAGCTAGATAACATGGGTAATGGCAGTCTCATCTGTTGGCACTCATATTAGAGAAAAATATTGTTTTTCTTTTTCCACATGCTTCATGCATTTTCATTCACTTAAAAATTTTTTGCAACTTAGTTGAATCTTGACATTCAATTAGGAGAAGGCAGTCACATGAAAATGACACTCCACATTACAAATAAGCTCCAACTTATTCAGACGGAAGGAAATAGTATCACTAAGAAACCCTTTTGTGAAGTGGTAGACATTTTTCCCCTTTGATTTGACAGTCTTTGCGACAGTTAAGGAAAGCTGAAAAGTTGAAAGTTTGCTTCAGTATTTGAACTGTCCTCAGAAAAACTGTATGAAACCAAATATGTTATTCATTGTCTTTGAGCTGGGTTGATGACAGTGAGGGAGGGAGGGAAAGGAGTGCATTTTCATTGAGCGGGTGGTGTTTGGAGTTGAGAAAAAAAGCACTTTGGGTCATTACTTCCTGCCAATTTCAGTTTCAAAAACAAATTCCCCCAACTTGCCAACAGCCCTCAATACATTTTCTTTGTTAGAATGAATATGTATCACAAGCAGTTTCATTGGGAAGGGTTTTTATGATACTAATAAAACTTTAAAGCTTCTCACTGCTCATGAATGTGGTCTTAAAAAAAAGTCTTAACAATATGCAACCATTTGAACAGCAGTGCTTACCTAGGAAAATAGCAAACCAAAATGGAGACAAAAAAATAATTATTTGAGCTGATACTGAGTCTAAGTCTAATCAACAAGACAAGCCAGGATGGCTTGTAAGTCTACAACCTGGTGGAAGCAGGGAAAGCTTCCAAATGTGGTCTGAGTTAAACAGTGTGAGAAAACAGTAGCTTAGAGTTGTTAGGTCAGATGGAAACAGAGTACATAAGACCAGTTTAAGACAGCTCTGTAGAGTCAAGATTTACAGAGCTCTGACTGCCAGTAATTATACCAAACTTAGGAAAAAGCAAGAGAGCGCTGACACTAGCTAAAGTGAGGGGTGATGCAGCCAGCATTGGCTTGGTTCCATACCATGCTGTTGGCCATTCCACAGCTATGAAACTCATCCACAGCTCTACCATACCCTCTTGTTACATCTGATACATATGAAAATCCTGAAGGTGAAAAGTGGAAGTTCACTCAATCAATATCATGGTTCCAAGGCCATCTAGAGTTGGTGAGAGAAATGTTTCCAACTCTTTGACAGTGTGTGTATTAGATCCATGGCTTTCAGGGAACCTAAAATGTGTTGTGCTCCGTGTAGCCTGCACAACTACAAACTAAGATTGCTGCAGCCCACAAACATTTCAACTTGCAGGATATCTTTCAATAACGGGTCTGGCTTGCAAACGGTCTGTTGGGACAGAGTGAATGGAAAATGGAAGGGAAGTAATTAGATCATTTAGCCTGAAATGCATTTGAAAACTAGAGTTATTTGAATCTTCATCTTCATTCTCTAATCTGCATGTGTGCTCAACTTCTTAAAATCGTTAATGTTGGTGTCAAACAAAATGTGACCTCTAAGCTGTAGTTTTTTGTTGTTTCACTTGGATTTGAAGGAGACTGTTCAAAGCTCATGTTCTACACCAGTTTATGATTTTTATCTAAAGTCAGATTGCCATGGTTTCAGCACATTCTGGTTTACTTAGTAAAATTCTGCATTTGTGCAATTGGCTGCAAATGAAGTACCTAATTCCAACTTCAGGCATAATCTGATTAGTACTTTTCCTGTTATAATAATGAGTAGCAAACAATCAGCATTTTATTAGACTTTTTTTTTCCCTTTCTGGCTCAGAATTAAAAACAAGTTCTTTCCATTTCATCATTCTGTACCTTTCAAAAAAAAAAGATGGCTTGGACATATATTGTCACACAACACACTTATTAACAGGCTGTTGCTTGTTGAAATTTACATAAATTAAGTGTGCATCCCTCTGCCATGTATCCCAAAATGTCCAGCTTCACTGAAACCAACCAACAAGCATGTTGATTTTTTTTGTTTTTGGTAGTTTAATGGTGAAGTATGTTACTGTGCTAGCAAACACACCCATGCCATCTGTTGGATGAGAGGAAGGCAGTTTCTAAGAGCAATTAAGTTTAGTTCTGGGTGTTCAGCTAGAGAGAGCCGCAGTCCACCCAGTTGCGAAAAGAAATTGTGTTCATTCTGTTCTCTGCCTCTCCCTCTCTGTCCTCCTCCCCTCTTCCTAACACATACCTTCTTACAACCATCTCTATCTCATCTCCATCGCCTCACTCCCTTTCACATTTCTATCTTTTTCTCTGGTTCTTTTTGGCCCTGACCATCCTTTAAATTCCATTTTGTTAGAGGGATTAGTAAAACACAGACCGGTAAGAAACCATCTTCTCAGAAGGGCTAGCTGAGTAATCTACTGAGATTACTGGTTGCTGAGCACTCCCTGGAGAAAGAAGGAAATGAAAATGAAAGCAAAAAGAGGCCACTCAAAACAGGCCTTTTCTTTTGGGCGGGGGCGGGGGTCATATTCTGGTAGCAAAACAGGTTGTTCAAAACGAAGTTTAGAAGGAATAGCATTCCAAACGTGCTAACACTACAAGATGGCTTTGGTAAATTATTTCTCATGTAGGATGAACTTGTCCCCCTAAGATCTGACAACCTGGAAAAATCAGAATAATGGAATGAAGGCCTTTACCAACAATTACATTAGGTCTTTGCAGACCTACATCACCACAGTGTGCTCTGTAGCATGCTCGATTCCAGAGGTGGGCTCTGCAGACATCACCGAGAAGGTCAGCACTGATCAGAATCTTCATAGGCTCTGTACTAAAGGGTGGTGGTACCAAAGTTCTGACATTCAAAGGACATTGTGTGCCATGGGCTGCTCAGTGCATTGGACCAGTGGCTAATAAACTTGTCCTTCCTTATACATAAGCCATGGTATTATGTGACTCTGTCTGGGCCAGGAACAGAGACTGGGTTCTTATCTATCACCTGGGAAAGAGACACGCTCCAGTGACGTAAGAGAGCGGATAAATCAACCATCACCAAGACCTGCAGACTCCAAAATTAAAGAAGAAAATATGCATGCAGTTGGTTCAATTGGCACCCATTAAAGCTAATAACTAATCATCCTCACAAGTTCCTAGCTCAGAATGATCAAATCTGCAAAGAAAACAACATCCGTCCACTTTTACACTCCAGTGGAAGAGGTGGTCCCTCGCGGCAGGGTGGCACAGTCTCGCCATCTGGAGAATAAATCGAGTGTGAAGTACAGTATAGTTTGGGACCAAGCTCCGTGGCGGCAACTCAGCAGTCAGTTCATTAGTTCCAAACTTCCAGGGATTAAAGCAGCATCAATTCTACTGTCTTATAGGAAGAGACAGACAGGATATGGGATTCAAGGAGGATTGTGACAACCAGGAGGAGCCCCTTGGGCTTATTTATAAAATTACAAAGTATAAACAGACCTAAATAAGTATCTTAAATAACAGCATTATCACAGTTTCATAACATCTGAATTAACACCTTTTCCTTCTTCCTCCCCCTCCCCAGCCCCCACATACGCATTGAAACCTTGTATGTTAATGTATAGTTGCTTTTCAGAGGAAATTGCAAAGATGACCCTGGATGCAACAGGAGCAATGAGAAAGAAAGCTGTGCAGCAGAACTGAGATTTGGTAATTAAGAAATACGAAAGACTTTCTAGACTCCAGGGAGATGCATAACATTTGTGATTTTTAAAAATGTGTAATTAATATTTTCATCCTGCAAAAGGCAAATTGCTACACCTCATATCTGAAAGCACCTCGTATCTGAAATCTACACTGTATGTCTAAATTCTGTCTTTTCTGAATTTGTCTCTCATCTCATTTCCATTTTACCTAATTCCTAAAATGATGTCATAGGCATGGTGTGAAATAAATTTTGGGAAGAAGAGCTCGAAATCAGCATCAATATGAAATTACTTTTTGAAAAATTTGAGAATGTTTGGTTTAAAATAAATTCTGAGGTCTTTTTCATGTGTCTTTTTATATGTTCATATTAAAAAAGAGAGGTGTTTGTGACATAAAACATGTCATCATCAGCAAATTATAGTTTTGTATTTTTGTTATAAATATATAAAATTTATTATAATCACAGAGACTTATAGTGACTGCATTGGAAAAAAAGGCAAATAAATTCTCATTACTTATTACAACCTGGTAGTGTTTCCTTAGGCAAGATGATAGTGTTAAGTTTTTTATATCTCATGAATTTTTCACACGAAAAACAAATCTTGGTTTGCCTGTTTTTTAAAACAAAATCTACCACACTATTGAATATACCATGAGTTAACTGGTTTAAAATTTCATTCATTAGTAACACCAAAGGCACAGGTAACATAAGAAAAAAATAAACTAATTGGACTTCATGAAAATTGAAATTTTTTTTTAAATTTAAAAAGCCCACAGATGGGAGAAAATATTTGCAAATCATATATCTGATAAGTAATTAACATCCAATACGTATATATAACTCCTAAAAGTCAATAACAAAAATAATTTTAAAATGGGAAAAGGACTTGAATAGAATTCCTTCAAAGAAGATAGATATACAAATAGCCAATATCCACATGAAAAGATGCTCAGTATTATTAATCACTAGGAAGATGCAAATCAAAAC